GCCCCTCGGGGGGGGGGGGCTCTCACTTTCTGTCTTTCTGTCTCTGTCTTTCTGGTGAGCACATGTGCCCTGTAGCAAAAAACTCTCCAGAAAATAAAATAGAATAAAATAAAACCAAAAAAATAAAATGAGAGGTGCATAAATATGAAAATTTACAATATATATAATGTGAAAAATATGTTAATAAAAAATGTTACTGCAATGGAAAAGGAAGTGTTAGTGCACAGGCCACATAGTAATTTCTAGAAACTGAAGAATTTATTAACTATCAAAAGGAAATGGAAAGGCAATTTTTATACCTTATTCTTTTTTTGTTAGTGGTAAAATAAAGTTAAATGCATAGGGCAGTAAATTATGTGATTTTATTGTGATCTTATTTACAATTCAGTAGTACATTTGAATGGAATTCTTATGCCTACATATTGTTGCTTCAGTTGAGATTCCTGATTCCTAGAAGAAGGCAACGCCAGGGAACATAGTTCAGATTTCTTTTTTTTCCCCCTTTTTATTTTGTTTTTGCCTTTTTTTTCCCCCAGAGATTTTTTTTTTTTTTGCTATAGGGCAGGTGTGCTTGCCAGAGAGAGAGAAAGAGACAGAGAGACAAAGTGAGAAGTCATCTCCCTGGGGAGGTGTGGCCATATCACAGTCTTCTCTTCCTCTATTCTCCTTTTGGGATTTTGGGCATGCATGCACACATGCCTGGCATGAGTTTCAAGCCTCCTGGTCCAGGACTCAAATTGTGGTGTATTATGTGGGAGTTCTGTGCCTTAACCACTACACCACCTACTGGCCCCAGTTCAGATTTTTTTTATATCTAAATTCTTTTCAATTATTTCTGAAAATGTCTGGTAATTTTGTTAGGTCTTGCAAATCAGTGCTTTCTCCATGCTCAATAAATAGTATGTTGAACTCTTGCCATCACTGCTGAATTTTTATAGTCATCTTTCCTGTAAATTTGTCACACAAGATTTGTTACTGTATTACAAACAAAATACCTACTTTCGAGTAGATTATTTCAGCAATTAAATTTAAGAGTATTCTTAGACTGACATACATTGGTTTTGTCCCCTCTCCCATGATGGGTGAGGAAATTTTCATTAATCCCAGATCGTCAAATTTATGTTTAGGTTCTTTCATCTCCCAGCTATGTCAAGAATTATATTGGGACCAGCAGTTGGCGTAATGGCTATGTCGCTGGACTCCCATGTAGTCGACCGTGGTTCAAGTCCCGGACCCAGTGGCTTAAACTCACGCCGGGCGCGTGTGCGTGTGTGCCCAGGATCCCGAGAGGAGAAGGGATTGAGGCGTGGCCATTCCCCCGGGGGGTGATTTCTCTCT